CAACGTCTGACTGCAAGGCCAAAATAAGGTAGGCAACGCTTTTACTCAAAGGAGCAGGTCGCTTTCGCCTGATCATGCGACTAACCTTAAACATAGTGAGTTTTTTCTAATGACCTAATGTGCCGAATTCGAACAGAGCCATGATCTGGTGGTCTGAGCGCTGCGTGTCCGCGACTGACTATTTTTCGCAGGTATTTTTCACGTTGGAGGTTGCTCCGCCTATCCTCAACCTGCGGACGCACCAGATGGCCGGCAGCTAGGCACAGTGAAGAGGGATGACAGATCTGTGCAAATTGTGGGAAGTTTAATATCCAGGATTTTCTGATTTCGACCATTCAAGAAACGCGACAGATGCCGCTTTCTTTCCGTTTCCAATTATCATTCATGTGATATCTTTTGCTTCTTCTGACAATCTCGCTAGGAATCGCCATTATCCACCAGTGAGTATATGCCAACAAGAAAAAATTTATTTATGCTTTCATAAGGGAACGATGCGAATGGCAGCCTGTTTCCTTATGTCAGAGTTTGCAGTTACGGTTTCCTTTCTCTAGTCTACACTTCTCACTAGGAAGTCTTTCAGCTAAAACTTCCATTGCGACATTTCGCACTCTCCACTGCGACAATGCTGAAGTTTATCTTGACCAGTAGCTGTTACTTGAAGACTAGTAAGGAGGTTAATAAGCAGTTATATAGTTGACTTGGTAGATGGTTAAATACCTATGTAAGTACTAGGTATATCGGCAGGTAAATAAACATGCAGTTAGTGGATAGATGAATAAATAAACAGATATATGGTCAAGCAGCCAGAAACATTGGTAGTTGGATCGTTAGTTAATTATATAGACAGGTAGAAGGATAGATAATTACATATATGCGTCGTGATCTGATGAAAATTACACAAACGCTTTTAGAAACTTATTTTGTGATCAAAATACTGCTTATCGATCACGATATGGGAAAACCCTACGTTAATTTTCCCTGTATGACCTTGAATTCATCGACCCTCACTAATGAGGACAATAAGATGGAACATAGAAAAATATGATTGTGGCTGAACTGCAATCAGTGATCAATCCTCTGAGATGCTCTCACTTATTAAACGATCCTCTCACTTATCTCACTTATTATTCCTTCATCGTTTCAACTAACACTCAAAAAACTATTTCAGTGTTTCATAAATAAGCGTGACACTGATTGGGCAAAAAGAAGGTCGAAAACCGACAATCGTCATTTAATAAACAAAACTGGAGTCGATTATTAATGTTTAGGAAACAAAACAGAGATGAACTTAACAGATCACCCTTTCGATGTCATAAATGAGAGGAGGCGCACCTCGATCTCGAAAATGACGTGGCCTAGGGAACAGAAGCTCGAATTTTTCATTAATGAATAATCATCCGTTGTTAATATAGGCAACGAAAAGCAGAAACTATTCGCTATATTGC